TCAGGTCAGATTTAGGACAGATTTTTCTAATTCTGCAAAAAGTGTTACTGGGATTCTGGTAGGGGTTGGGTTGAAGCTGCAGCTTACTTTGGGTAGTACTGTCTTCCTAAGAGTATTGAGTCTTCAAGTCCATACAAATGAAATGTCTTTCTATTTATTGATGTCATCTTTAATTTCTTTCAGCAATGTTTTGTAGTTTTCAGAGTAGAATCCCTTGACCTTTCTGGTTAAAATTATTTCCAAATATTTTATTCCTTTTGATGTTAATGTCAATTGAAATTCTTAATTTCCTTTCAGATTGCTCATTGTTAGTGTATAGTCTAAAGAATCATCTAGAAAGAGCAAAATGGACAGGCAAAAGCTGGTGGCTTTGGAGTAGAAACATTCCCTGTCATGGGTGTTTGATGTCCCCTCTCCCTTTGCAGAGGGCAGGTGGCTCTTTCCTGATATCCAGATAGACCTCACTGGGAAACATCGCCAGTGCTCTAGGGATCCACTTACCAGGGACTATGATCCTCTTGATTACAAGATTTGTTCCGCCAGTGTCTGAGTTATGGATGACACAGTTATAGACCCCTCTGTATGTTTTAGTGATTTTGGGGATAAAGAACACTTGTGCTGATTGCTGGAACTTCCCATCAATCAGCCAAGAATGCTCTTCCAGTAGGTGAGAGTCTGTGAGGCAGGAGACCTTGGGGATTTCCCCAGAATGGTAATAGCTGTATGAAGAAGAAATGGTAGGGGCATCCAGGCCATCTGGAGCAAAGAGAATAAAGCCACAGGTGATATTGTCAGGGGGAAGGGGAAGCTCCTGATCTGTGGAAGGGCCACAGTGACCCTGTGAACCAAGTCACAACACGGAACTCCCAGGCAAACCCCTGCCGTGTTCACTGATCTGGAGCCTGGACACTCACCTGTTTCTTTTATCACAAGCTGTGGACCCTGAGCAGCCCCTTTCTTCCTATTGTTGATTGAGGCTAGGCCTACTCTGGTTTGCCCAGGGCAGAAAATCATGGCCAGCTTTGATATCCAGTGGTAAAGGTCTCTGTACTCGGACCTGAGAGGCCTGGCCATTGGCCATGTGTATCTGGGATGGAAGCCTCGGCCCACAGAGGAACAGAAGATACTCACGAAGGACATTCAGGGTGACTGGATCACTGCGGCTGGCACTCACTGGGTTCTTCACTTCACATTCATAGGATCCTGCATCATTCTCCGTGACACTGAATAGAATGAGGGTTCTGTTGTCATTGGACAGCCACAGCCTGCTACTGATTGGGAGGCTCTGACCATTTATCCACCACAGGTAGCTTGCGTCCTTAATCTCAGGTTCACAGGTTAAGGTCACAGTGGAAGTCTTCCTGGGGTTTGAGTTGCTGCAGGCGATGGAGGGCTTGGGAGTCTCCACTGTGCAGATAACAGAGAGAAGATTACCCTGTGTGGCACCTTTGATTCCTCCAAAGGCATTTTTTCAGTGAGAGTTAGCATCTCCCACCGCTCAGCCTACTGAAGTCCTTAAAAGCCCATGGCAGGTGTGTGTGTGTTACAAAACAGATGCACAGCAATCTGAGGGCTCAGAGATAGTGAGGCTGCCTGCTTTATGTGGGAGAAGTTCAGACTTTCTCAAACATGAATGGAGCAGCTCTGTTGGGTCATGGAAAGACACAGGACCAAGAGTCACAGCTCCTGGTGCCTCTCTGAGTCCCTCCCTCTCCAGCTGCCTGCCTGGCGCACCTTGTGGTCCTCACCTAGAACATGCAGCTGCTGGAATCTTTTCAGTTTCAGTTTTACTTCCCCCCCACCCCTGGTATGTTTTCTCTGCAGCTTCTCTCTCCAAGGACATCCTAGAGATGGGTGATGATGGAACTTAGCATTGTCCTTTGGGTACCCTGTGGGTACTGGGCAGCCTGGCCTGGGACTGGGTACTTCAGCAGAAGTAACACAGGGGAGGCCGGGGCAAGCCTGGAGGTCAGTTCAGCCATCAGGCAGTGGAGGCACAAGGTGGGGCAGTTTCCCTGGGGCTTTTGTAGTGACTGACTTGAGCCAGTGACTCTAAA